AAGGTGCACAAAACAGTGAAGCTGCACACTTAAATTACACTTAACACGAAACACATATTCAGGAATGGAAAATTAGAGGCTAAAGCCTGCCTCAAATTAATTTTTAAAAAGATAATAAAAGTTATAAAAGTAAAAAGAGTGTAACAACCAGAAGTTTGAAGAAAACTGGAGAGTTCTGAGACTTGCATGGTAAGAGTAACTATGTTGCAAACATCGTAAAAAACTCCATGGGAAGACATTTTTGAACCTAATTGAATCTTTTCAAAAACTCTTCCGCAGAAACACGAGCACGAGCATTTAAAGCTAGCTTCATGTCATTAATCTCCTGAAATTGGTGTGCAGTTAATAGGATATAATAACGCATGAATACCTAATAAAAGATCAAAAAATCCAAACAAATACCGAGTACAATTTCTATTTCTTCAAGAACTGTTAACGACTAACCTTGTCAATCTCCTGCATAAAATGAATGAGGAAGTCAACAAGCTTGTGTTTATACATCATTTGTGTGTGGGCCGCAGTAATCAGGAACGAGATATCATAACCAGGAATAGGCTTTCTAAAAGTTCATTTACGTACCTGTATGACCTCTAGTGAACCAAGTTTTCAAAAAACAACCATAAGTGATATAAAAGCAATGTTAAAAAACTAGTAATAAACATTTGACAGAGAAATACCTCCTGAGAATGACAAAGTTATCAGCACGTTGACACATAAAACGTGTGAATTTATGCGCAAGAATTTTTTCAATATCATCTGCCTGTTTAACAGCAATACTCATTCGAACTGCATTAATGGAAGGCTCAATCAACACCCGTTCCTGCTTGTTGCGAGAAACCACAAGGGGGGTCAAAAGCAACTCCTTCGAGGTACAAACTTCAACCTGCAAAGTAGCCAAAAGATGCAATCATGTACAACAAAAAAAATAGACAAGCCAACACAATTAAAATCCAAGCATAAAGCTGAACGTGAGAAATAAATGGTTGAAGTAGAGAAAAAATAACTGTCTGCGAATGAGAACGAAGGAAAAAAACTAGTTCACGGCGAACTTCACGCACTGCTCGTCAATAACAAATGAAAGATATATGCTGTCTGACAAAACTTTCAAAAATGATGAGTACGTAAGTAACAGCCCACTGATGTAGACTCAAAAAACAAATTTCTATCAAAATTATGACCACCCTTCTTAAACAGACGTAAAAACCCTAAAAAACTTGAAACTTGACCTGCCACTGGCAAAAACATTTACGCACTCACCATTTATGCAGTTGCCTAAAATGTTCAAACAAAACTTGTTTGAAAAAAAAAAAAAGCAAAAATAAAAAAACACAACGTTCTGAATGTCATTAAAATTATTACAAAGAAAAAAACTAGTCGATTTGTTTAAATGTTAAAAAATTTTCTCTCTATCAGTATCTTACAGAAAAATTTCATAAAAACATCACTTGGAGTAGCAGTGAAAAAGGGTAAAAGAAAACAAGAGACCTCTGGTTTGTTGTGGCGTTCAACAACTTGTGAACTAAATTCTTCCAAGCAAAGTGCTGCCTCGAGAGTCTTGCGTACCGCTTCCAGATAAGGTTGCAAAGTCGCACTCTAAAAAGGAAAAATAATTTTGTACTATACTGGATACTAACTAAAGCATATGAATGAAGTTCGGCCTCTCTACAAAGAAAAATACTGGAAAAAAATGAAAAAAATCAAAATATACCATTTCTAGTCGCTAAAAAATTCACTGTCGATACAACTGAACAGAGACTGCTAGTTCTGCAAAAACTGGAAGCTGAACCTGTGAATAAACAAATAAACTGCACAAAATATTAAACGGAAGTGTTGACCTAATTTAAGCAAAAAAAGACAACTGCAATACTCATAAACGACATTAGGAATATAAAAAGGAACAAAAAAGCAGCAGTAGCAAACAAGAAAAAAATCTCGTTCAATTCATTTCTAACCAATAAAAAAAATAAAGTGATTTTTCAAAAAAAAAAAAAA